TCTTGCCAGAACTCCATGGAATGCAAATTGGCTCCCTAATTAATGGGTTGAGGTATCATCCCATGAAACTCACAGAGGAAGAAGTGCATGTAGTGTTTATCGAATGAGAGGTCATTTTTCTGTAGTTGTTTGTCCCTTCTTGCTGCTACCAATGTGATCTGTCAGCTGCTTATAAGATGAGCCCTTGTACTACACACAGCTCTTCTGGGCTTTGTGCCAGTAATTTGCCACTCAGAGGTGGTGTGGCCCCCTGGAGTGGGCAGCATTCAGTTGCAAGTGAAGAACTTGGAGTCCAGCCCCCAGGCCTCCTCTCCCCTAGTCCTCTCTGCTCTCAGACTCTGCACGTCCCCCAGGAAAGCTGCATCCCCTTGGTTTATAACATTTCCCCATTACAGACTGTTCCACAAGATGAACTGCACCAAACAGACTCTATTCCACGCCTGTCTCTTAAGTGCCCCACAATGATAGGGCTGGGGATGTAGCTCAGTGGTTAAGTGCTCCTGAGTTCAATCTCCAGTAACAACAACAACAACAACAACAAAAGGACTTGGTCGGTTGAGAGTAGCAAACCAGCTGGGTACAGTGGCCCATGTGCGGCCGGCGGGCACCTGGCCTCAGTTCTGTCAAGATGCCTTGAGAGCTAGGCATGTGGGGGGCAGTCATCATTAAAAGATCTCTATTTTTGTGGTGCTGGGGATCAAACACAGGGCCTTGAGGATGCTAGGCAACTGCTGTACCCCTGAGCCACCTCTCCAGCCCCAAAGTTCTTGACAATATTAGCCACCTCCTCCAGGCCTGGAAGGACGTGGAGCCATAATTGTCCTCACTTACTATAATGCTTTTTGTTGGGAACTGTTACATAGCAGGAGTGAGGCCAGTTCCTGGCCTGGCAGGAGCCAGACAACAATATGGACAAACAGAATAGGCTGCCTCTGTGAGGGACAGCCACCACAGTAGCGACAGAGCACCAGTCCCTGCAATCCCAAGTTATTACCAGTCAGGATTTAGAACAGGCCCCCAGATGCTGTGTCCTGGGCTCTCCRTGCCCACTACCGCCACCCCTTCAGCCTCTGACACTGTGGCTCAACCAGATGGTGAAGTCCTGAGTGAGGTGAGGGAGCTGTCTGTACCCCCAGCCCAGTGCCAGCCAGAGCGTGCCCTCGAAGCACAGGGTGGACTGAGGGAGACTGGCCAAGGGTTGCTTCCTTCTGGTGGAGCTTCCCTTCACTGGAGGGTCACCCCTGCACTTGGCTGCTAACTCCCCAAGGGCCAGGTCTCTTTATGCTTCCTCTTCATTTAATCCCCGGAAGCAGCAGCACCTCAGCTCTTAGTACCTGAGTCTCAACCAGCTCCTTGCTATTTCCCAGCAGCCTCAGGGTGACCAAGCCACCCGAGTCTGCTTCACGTGTCCACCTTTGGCTCTATTCCCTGTTCCCTGAATTGTTACCAACCATTTTCATCTCTTTCAGCACTGAAAAAGGCAGTGGGGTCAAGGGGAAGGAGAGCAGCTTTTGGAGCCAGATGAGACCTGACTCCATCTCTTCCTGCTGGGTGGCCCTGGGCAAGTCATCTATCTCTCTGAGTCTTAATGTCCTCTCTATAAAATGGAGACATAACAATATCAACAACCAGAATGTTTAGGAGGACTAAATATTAATTTGTACATGACTGTAGCAACCTACCCGTCACATGGCCAGTCCCCCAAGATATTAGCTCTTTCTGTCATATCTCATTCTCCTCTGTGACTTCACTCTGGCCAGGAGACCCTGATTTAGTTCTTCAGTTCACCGGGCAATATTTAGAAAGGTGAGGGCACCTCATGTAGGCCTGAGTCACCTACTTTGCCCCTTATAAGCCTATTTCCTTATCGGTAAATTAGGATGGTGGCTAAATATATATATATATATTTTTAGAGAGGGGGACAGAGAGAGAATTTTTTAACATTTATTTATTTTTTCTTAGTTCTCGGCGGACACAACATCTTCGTTTGTATGTGGTGCTGAGGATCGAACCCGGGCCGCATGCACGCTAGGCGAGCGCGCTACCGCTTGAGCCACATCCCCAGCCCTAAATATTTTAAAATACTAACTTTTTCCTTCTTTCTTCCTATCTGTTATTCCTTCTAAGCAGGTGTTTGGCTCAGAGGAGGCTAAGAGCTCATAATCCTTCAGTCTTTCTTTAAGGGAAAGGGGCTTTCAAATCTAGAAGAGATAGATTGGAAAAGGATAAGAGAGGGATTTCTCAGAGATAAGCAAAGAATCCTGGAGGAGTTTGGGAGAAACTGAAAGATCTCGGGCTCCTGGATTGGAGGAGGTTGCACAGGGCCTCCAGGGGACAGGGAGCCAGAAACCACCCAGGACCTCTGGCAGTTTCAACCAAGAGGCCTTGAGATGGCAAAGAAGCCTGGGGACTGCCTGGTCTGAATATGCAGTATGAATGGTCACCAACCCAAGGGGCCACCTGGACCCTCTGCTGGAGCAGGGGCCAAGGCCAGAAGAGCTCCTGCCAAGTGGGGTCTGAGAGTCAGAAGCAAAGTTAAGTTACAGAAAAATCAAACAACCTTTCTCTCACCTCTTAGTGTGTGGACTTAAGTTCAAACCTGCTGCAAGAATGAGACCTCCAAGAACCTGTGAGGATTACTATCAAGATTAACCCAGGTGACTTAACAGAAATGCCTGGCCCTGGGCTGGGACATTAATTCTCCCCTCTCCACAGTGAATTCCACCCCTCGCTCTGATGCAGGTCAGCACAGTGGTTATAGCCCAGTGGTTATACACCTGCCTCTGCTGCTCTCCAGCAAGTGAGCTAAGCTCTCTGGGCTTCAGTCCTTTATAAGAAGGCAGGGCAATGTCTGTCCCATGAGATGGTCCCTGTGAGGGCCAGCGAGTGCTTCAGGCAATGGTTCTTCCCAGGTCCCCCGCCAGCCAACCCCAGCTCCAGCCTTACCTTCAGTGGTAAGGCTGTCAATGAAGAGGGAGGAGGAAGTGGTGGTGAGGTCGCCGTCCAAGGGGCCAAAGGAGCTGTCAGGGGAGGCTGAGTAGTGGTCCTCATCCTGGAAGTCCTCGCACGTGCTGCCCTCTGCCTAGAAGAGAGACCCCCGCACTGCTGCCTGGCTAGAGTTGGGCCCTGGATGCATTTAAACCTTCCACTTAGTCTGACCACTTGGGAAAGCTGAGATGAAGGCTTGCTTGAGCCCAGGAGTTCAAGGTCAGCCTGGCCAACCTAGGGAGACTCCAGTTCAAAAAAAGAAAACAAAATGAACAGCAACAACAACAAAAAAAACCCTTTACTTTATCCTTCAAGGGTCTTATCTTACAGGACAATTTATCAGTCAGCTGCTTCAAATTCTTACTCAAGGAAGGAGCTGAGAGGCCAATCTTGAATAAATAGAGCAAATCTGGACATTTAGCACAGCCAACGTCAGAAAGGGGAGGTTGGACAGATTTTTTTTTAAGGCCAGAAAAAGACAGCTTACCCCCGGCCTGGACTAATAAAAGAGGCCGCCGCGAGGGCGTGGCAGTGGGTCTATAGGGTTCATGTTTAAATGCTGAGTCCAGCGCCTCTTAGCTGTGAGAGGCARACCTGCTCCTCACACTCTCCCCTCTGACCAAAGGGGGCACTGGCCTCCAGCTTCAAGGTCAAGTTAAATAAGAGCAAGTGTAGGGCAGCACCGTGAGGTGCTCCCACTGCAAGACGAGGAAGAGGACGGGAGCAAAGAAAGATGCAGTGAGCTCTGCGTCAGCCCAGGGTATGAGAGCAGGATGCTCCCCACCCAGGATCATTGCTGGAAAATTCTAGTAATGAGAAGGAACCGGTACAGGATTCTAAGTGGGAGGTGCCTGGAACGACCCTCCACACCCCCCAGGATGACTGCCKCCCTCAAAAGCCAGAGGCCTAGAGCCTCAGCAGGTGCACAGCCTCTGGAGGAGCCAGCTGGGACTGAGGCCCTGCCTCTCCAGGCACCAGAGGAGTTCCAGAGCAGCTGCCTGCTGAAAGCCAAGTCCCCAGAAGCAGTTGTCTTGGGGACCCACAGAGCCCTCTAAAACCTTCCAGAGTGGTCTAATTGGCTCAGAGCAATCTGGAAAACAAATCTTAGCTGGAGGAGAGAAAAAAGACACCTCGGGCTGAAGACACCTTGAAACACAGCTCCCTGGGGAGGGGCCTGCTGGCAGACCTCCTTCCCCTCACCTGCACAGGGCCACGTCACAGCTGCGCACATATGCTTCTCACCTCCTGGGCACAGCCATAGGCCAGCCATTCCTGACGATAGCGGTCGAAACCACTGGAGCACCTGCAAGGGGGTCAAAAAGTTAGAGAAGTGAGGGGACCGGAAGAGAAGCCCTCCACTTTCATGTCCCCTATTCAGTACATCCTTGAAGGCAGTGAGGAGGGGCTCAACTCCTGGTCAAGCTCCCCAGGTGCAGGAGGGAGGGGAGGATGTTTGTGTATCCCCACCTTTCTTAGGACCAGCTCTCGGGATTAAGGCCGCAGCTGCCCAGATGTGTGTGTGTATGTGTGTGTGTGTGTGTGTGTGTGTGTGTGTGTGTGTGTGTGGTGTTCAGGGACGCATGACCTCTGATGACTTTTAAGTCTGTTTGACTCTGCTACCGTGGCATTCCTGGAACTGGAGGAACTCATGCTCATTTGCCAGGCTCCAGGTATTCAGTGGCCTCAACTTTGAAGCAGAGGCTGGTGGAGGGTGGGCATCGGAAGAGGCTGGCCTACGCTCCCTGTGTGATCATTAAAGGCAGAAATAAGGGTTCTGCTGGAGGCTGGGAGAGGTGAGAAACAGGCTGACCCGGGTCTCTGGAGAGGACACTGTGCAGCTCAGCTGGGCTGGAAGAGACCAAGTGCCTCCCTTGGGAAAGKGTGGGATACAAGGATGAACCAGAGAAGGTTCTCCACGGCATCAAGGGCTCAAATTGCCCTTCTTCACTCTTTGGTGCCAGGGGAAACAGCAAGCTTTACTTGAGTTCAGGGACATCTGCATGGGAAGAATAACATCCTGAGCCACGAGGGCAGAGAAAGATTCCCAGCAAGTTAACTCCACACCAGCAGCCCCTGCCCATCAGTCCAAGACCCAGCGAGGCCAAAGTTGAGGTTTTCTGAGGACCTCTAGTCTTTCCTTTTGGAGGTATCCAAGCTGCTCCTCTTGAGCAGGGGTGGCTGCATTGCACCAGCCACAGGCTCCTTCTCTCAGGCCCTCTAGGACCACTGCTTTGGGGGATAGAGGATTAGGGGAGTTATTGGAATATGGGGACCAGTTTCTTTTAGACTAGGCTAACTGATTCTTTCCAGGATTAAGCATTCAGTACAGGTCTAAGAGCATCACATTCTAAACCCTGAGCCAGTCAACCCTGACTCAGAGAGGGGCATGAGAGATGGCCACTTACTGAGTGTCTCTTGAACGCCAGGTGCTGCCCCAGACACGGCTCCTCCAGCACCATTCCTTAGGACTCTCACAATGACGTTAGAAGGCAGCGGTTATGACCATCAGTTCCTGAGCTAATCCAGGAACTGAGGTCACCCTTAGACTCCACAGTGGGCCTTGGGGACCACTTTAGGATGACAGAAAGACACTTTTTCCATGGTAAGTGAAACTGTCTGAATCAGATCCAGCCCCGAGTGGGGCGGGGAAGCCCTGGGAGGCTACAGAGAGCAGAGGAGATGAAGGGGAGGGGAGAGGAGAACCAGGGTCCTCTATCAGCCCTGCCCTCTGGCTCTAGGGCACTAGGGTCAGCTCTCATTTGGAGCCAAGGCTCTAAAAATCTGGCAAGGAGTGAGTCTAGGCCCGTGGGTGTCTGGGGATGGGTGGTTTGTGGCCCTTGTCACCTCACACCCTCTGAGAGAGCTTCTCTGCTCTGGGGCTGACAGGACCCCCGTAGGGCAGAGTCCACGCGCAGAGCCCCGCCCTCCCCTCACCCCYGACTGGCCAGTCCCACTGAGGCAGGCCACCCTCTGGTCATGTCATGCTCCCCGAGTCTGGGTGTAGCCRCTAAACGGGGCTGTGGTGATGTGAGGGTTTTGCTTTCGTCTGGCCCACTTTGCAGTTCCCATGGCTCCGTTTGTGCTGGATGCTGAGTCACGCGGTGGCAGCCAGCCCCAGGATCCCAGGGCTCATCTCAGGCCATCCAGAGCGTCTCCCCACTACAGAGACAGCGGTTCTCCACTTTGAAAATGCAGAAGATGAAACACTCCAAAAAATCAGACTCCTGGGACCGTGGTCCCAAGGGGTCAGATTCTGTGGGTTGTGGGGGGAGAGGCAGGGAATCCGGCCAGCTCTCCAGGGGATTCTGAAAGACTTGGTGCACAGAAGACTCTGCAAAGTCTCCTGTTCCAGAAGAACCAACCCATTGACCCAGGTTCAGCTCCACGAATTCTGAGGCAGCTCTCTGCCTTCATTCAAAGACCCTTGGATGCTTTGTAAAAATGCTGTTTGGCATTTGGAGAGTTTAAATAACAGTGTTCTCTCCCCCACCCCCACATCTCCCTGATTCACATAATACAGCTCCATTTTAAGAGGTAAACACACTAAGGCCTCAGGTGAGTGCGCCAAGGCACAGCTGGTGGGAAGAGCACCTGGGAGGCCTGATAAGCGCATCCTCTCCCCTGAGAGTGGAGCCGCCCTGTGCATTGCAGGCTGCCTGTGGAGGCCAGGGCTTCTATTTCTGCTCAGGGATGTTGGAAAGGAGCAAAGGAAACGCTGACAGCTGCACGACAGCTGCACGGGAACTCAGAGACTGTAATTTTGCAATTTTCAAGATCGCCTTAAAGGCTCCTGGAGTTCCTAGGGCTTCCCACTCTCATGAGAGCTCAGTCCCCACAGGAATCCTTCTTTCCCCTCCTGCCGTTTATTTATCTTGGACAGGAGAACAGAGCTTGAATTCTAAATCTAATGTGCAAGGAAATGATTTCAGAACTAGGAGTAGAAGATAAACTGGGTTTAAGGACTTTAGCCCTGAAACTGAATCTCACCCAGAATTTTCTGTGCTTCTAAAACCAAGCATACGGTGTTGTAGCCTCCCCCAACTTTCTGCGGATGCCTGCAGTGTCCACACCCCTGGTTTTCAAGAAACCCTGTTGTAACCCAAGAAAGATCTTGAGGTGGTGTTTTGGGGTCACAGGGCTCTCATCCAGTGGCAGTGGGTCATTGCCTGTCTCTGAGCTGGGAGTTCCGACACTTGTCTGCAGATGAGGCACTATGTTAAAATGCTGGGTCCCGGGTCCCCTTCTAGAGATTCCAGGATTCTGCATGCTTAACAGGAGATCTTGGAGACCCTGGGATGACCACAACTGAGTCCTTCTCTTTGAGAAGTCCTGCTCTAGAACCAATACCCTCACAGCTTCCTGGGATTAAGGAGGGGGCTACAGCTGCTGGAATCCCTGAATGGTCTTCCGGAAGCTTAGTGTCACCCCAGGCCTCACCCTGCCACACAGGCACCTTGATCAGGCACAAGCCTCAAGAGAAATTCTCTTGTGAGACATTCTTGTCCTGTTGGCCAGGGAGGCGCGGAGCAGAGAGAGAACCTCGTGCTGGCAGAGAGGCCCAGAGGCCCGAGGCAAGAGTGGAGCTTTGCCACCGTCTGGTCTCCTCTGGAGTCTGCTTATGGGACTCAGCGCATAATGCTGGGCACAAACCTCTGCAGGACATGGCACCAGCTGCAGTTGAAGGTCAGGTCCGAGGACATGCAGGTGTCACAGCTCCGATGCTGCAGGCAAGCTGCAAGAGAGGAGGCAGTGGCCGCTGAGCATCGGGACCTTTCTACCAGCTTCACAGGGCACAACTCCTGAGTTCTGGAACCTTCCAGAACAATAAAGTCTCTGTCTTAGCAGGAGCTTGAGCTCACTTCAGTCCAGCCCCAACTCCCTTCCTTCCTTCTCTCCTTCCATGACCAGGGGGTTAGGTCCTGAGCTRGTGCTGGGGGCTTAACAGTAAGACCTAGTCCCTGCCTTCTTGGGGCTTACAGTCATATGAGCAGACAGACCCCAAACAGATGCACACACAAAAATAACTACAAGTTGGGCGCAGCAGTGCATCCTTGTAATTCCAGCAACTTGGGAGGCTGAGGCAGGAGGATCACAAGTTCAAGGCCAGCCTCAGCAACTTAGGGAGACACTGTCTCAAAATAAAAAATAAATAAATAAAAAGGGTTGGGGATGTGGCTCAGTGGCAAAGTGGCCCTGGGTTCAATTAACAGTACAAAAGTTTACTGGGGCTAGAAGTCCTGGATGATGGAGTCCTAGCAGTGAGCAGAAAAAGAGCAGATGCCCRCAAATGAATAGACAAGTCTACCTCAGGGCTTCTGTGTCGAGAGGGGCTGAGGAAAAAGTAGTTCAGGACAGGAAGGCAGAAGGAGAGTGGGGATGGGGCTGCTCAGGGAGCCTAACACAGGCCTTGGAGGAGAGGGCCTTTGGGCAGAGGATGAGAAGGGAGGGAGGGAGCGGGCAACTCTGGGGGGGGGGGGAGGAAAAGTCCAAGCAGCAGAGCCTGGTGTGTATGGCCCAGGAGTGGTCCCAGAACAGACAGAACCCCTAACAGGCTGCAAGGAGGGGAGAGGCGGAAGTAGCAAGAAGAGAGCGGCAGCTGGGGCTGGCCCAGGGCAAAGAATGAGCAGAGCAGGCTGCTGGAGGGCACCTGGGCCCCTCCTTGCACTGCTCAGAGAGGAGCCAGAGGCCTGGGGAGCAGGAGGCCTGGGGAGCAGGGGGCCTGTGGAGTAGGAGGCCTGGGGAGCTGGGAGGCTTGGGGGCTGGACTCTAAGTTCTTCACTTGCAACTGAATGCTGCCCACTCCAGGGGGCCACACCACCTCTGAGTGGCAAATTACTGGCACAAAGCCCAGAAGAGCTGTGTGTAGTACAAGGGCTCATCTTATAAGCAGCTGACAGATCACATTGGTAGCAGCAAGAAGGGACAAACAACTACAGAAAAATGACCTCTCATTCGATAAACACTACATGCACTTCTTCCTCTGTGAGTTTCATGGGATGATACCTCAACCCATTAATTAGGGAGCCAATTTGCATTCCATGGAGTTCTGGCAAGAAGGCAGCTGGGAACCAGTCCTTGGTGAGTAGGAAAGAGGCTGTGGTGGGCCCAGTGAATCCACCTTCAGTGGCTCTATGGGAGGGGTGGCTGTTGGTGGCACTGTGTCCTTTTGTCTACCTTGGTGGATGAAAAACCAGGAGCAGGAAATAAGCAGGGGCTGCCTCAAGGTGGGGGTGGGGCCGTGTGCTCTCTGCCTGCTTCCTTCCCTGCTGTACCCAGGGGACCTAGAGTGCCCCGCGTGTGATATGTAGAATTCATGGGGACCTGCTCTTCTTATTCCCATTTTACATAGGAAGGAACTGAGGCCTGGAGTCATGAAGCTACAAGTGGCAGGTCTGAGTCTGAGCCAGGGTCTGTGTGAACCTAGAACCAGAACTCAGCCCTTTTGGTTTCTTGGTGGGTTCCTCGTGCCCCTGCTCCCAGCCTCACGCAGGGTACCTTTCCTTGACTGTCTCCTAGCAGAGGAGCCAGGAAGGACCCACCATGGAGTGCGATGGCTTTAAGATAAGCCATTCACATCCCTGGGAGTATCTGGGATAAGTGCTCTTGGCACCCAAAGCATAATGGAGAAGCTGAGGGATAAAGAGCTTTCTCCCGGCAAAGCCAGCAGGGCTCCCACACGGGCGGCCACACAGGAGTCCAAGGCCTTGCCGTTCTCAGTGACTCTGGGGGCCCCTTAAAGGCTCTGGCCACACTGGCCATGATGAAACCCTCTGGGAGCCTTGTGGGGAGTTCATAACACCTGTTGACCTGTGTCTCTCATCTCATTTCAGATGTCCTGTGTGCTATTAAATGCTCACGAAATTCACTAGAGTTGGGGGCGTGGCTCAACTATACAGTCTCAGAAGTACATTTCAGGCGCGGTGGCACACGCTTAAAATCCCAGAGTCTCCAGAGGCTGAGGCAGGAGGATTGTGAGTTCAAAGCCAGCCTCGGCAACTTAGTGAGGCCCTAAGCAACCTGTCGAGCTGTCCCATACATACATATATACAAGGGCTTGGGATGTGGTTCCGTGGTTAAGCACCCAGCCCAGGTCACTGCTTCACCCAGGCACTTAGCCCGGCCCTGTATGTCTTTATTCCTCATGAAGCTTATCCAAGTTTAGGACTTGAAGTCTGTCCTTGCAAGTCCCTGAGGAATCCCTGTTCTCAGGCCCTGGGCTTCTGCCTCCAAAGAAGGTGACTGGGTTGGTGAGTCTGTGACCTGCACGGTGTCTTAGCCCTGAGACTCCCTGGTGTCTGGTCCTTTCTGTTTTCCAGGGGAAGATACCCGCTGAGCCCAGGCTGGCATTCATGACCAACCCTTCCTCTTCCTCCTCTTCGTTCTCTATCCCCCAACTCCCAGGAAGGAGGAGGAAGAGAAAGGGAAGCAAGAAACTTCACAAAAGGCAGGCCAGCCATGGCTTCAGAAGCAAGCTGGGAGGTACCATGGGACAGGAGAGGAACTTAAACTCTCTTAAAAATTCAAGAATAGAAGTGCTGTCCTATACCCTGAGTCCCTGCCTCAGTCCCCACATCCCAAAGAGCACCCAAAGACAGTCCTGAGGCGTCCACAGTGGCAGGGGGCCTTGGTCATGGTGTGTGTCTTCAACTGTATGTAAGTTTTTGGAGGGCTGCTGCCTAAATCTTTTTACTGTCCTCTGCCCATGGACTCCAGCACCATTCCCTCCAAGGAAAATTTAATGACAAACCACAAATTGTTCAGTTTCTGGGTTACTTTTCCTTGGCACTAAGAGGGTACATCTCTTTGGGGTTTCAATTTTATATCAATAACAATACCTGTCATATATTAAGCAAACCACCCCCCAGGCCTGGGACCTACCAGTAAATGTCAGAGCTGCCATTTCTGGTTCTAGCCCTTTCCACAGCTCTGGGAGGGAGGTGTTGGGGTCAGGTTACAGGTGAGAAAGGGAGGCCCAGAGAAGTTAGGTGACTGTATCCCCAAGAGCTCAGCGGTGGGCCTGGGCCATGAACCCTGTCTGTTGACTCTGAAGCATGTTGCAAGATGGCGGAAAGCCCCCTGTCCCTGAGAACAAGCCCCACTCACTTGGCAATGGGGTGAACTCCACGGCCGACGTGCTGGTGATCTTGCTGGAGTCCAGCTCCACCCGGTGGTATTCAAAGATCGTCCTTCGCCGAGACTCTGAAACAGAGGCAGAGCCTGTCCTCAGGAGCCTGTCACAGCCAGAGGGCTCAGTGCAGCCACTGAAGGAGGAAGTAAACCCACCAACCTGGGAGAGACAAGAGCCAGGAGCTGACCTGGAGAGGAGAGCCTCTGTTGTGTGCAGGTTAAACTACCACCACAGAGGCGGGGCTGCTGCTGGGGTGAGGAGATGGCCAGCCTCTGCTTCCACATGCCTCTGCCATCACAGGGCTCTTCCCTGAGCCATGATGTTCCCCCACCCTATCTCCTTGTTGAGCTCACTCTTGCAGATCTGGCTCAGGACCTCTTTCCCTGAGTGGTACCTCTTGACCAGTTCCTTTTCTGTCCGTACTCTGGCTAGGTGTCCTCCTCCCACTGTACTTACCAGGTTGTGTAGACCTTCTGGGCATTAGACTGTGAGCCTCAGGTCCTGAACCTGACCCACCGTGAGCGCTCTGCTACAGTCTCTTGCTGACCACTCTCTCCTCCTGGATGGAGGCTTGAGCAAGGTTCAGGGTCTGGATCCAGGTTTAAGTCCTACCTTGATCCCTGCAGAAACTACCCTCAGGACCTCAGAGTCAGACAACCCAAGTTCTGATTCGAGTTCTGCTCCTGACTTGCTAGCTAACCTTGGGCAAGTCAGTTGAGCCTCTGTTTCTGGTCTGTGAAGTAGAAAGACAGAGACACTTGTCGCAACACCTTTTGGAGGAAAAAAACTGGAATTGTAGATGAAAATATTTATCTTAAAATGGCAATCTTCTATGTGCTGATATTTCTCATGACCACACCATGTCCATTCATGAACCAGGACTTGGCRTTGGTTTCCTTTAGCTCTGCAAGGCCGGCAGCCAGCTGCTGAGCTTCCCCACAAGAAGAAAGGGCACTGAGTGTGTGGTCTTTCCAACGCCCTTCCTCTTTCTGGAAACAATATTCCTTTTGGGGGAACAGGGCCCAGCACACTGAAGCTGCCGTCTTCCATGACCCCGCCTCACAGTGATTGGTTCAGGTCTGGGTGACAGATTTGAGATGAACCAATCAGAGATCTTCCCTGAGACTTTTCAACTAACCAACCCATGAATGACAGTGTTTCCAGTCTCATAGCCACAGAATAAAGCTATTTTATAGAAAGGAACAGGAAGTACTAGTGTGGTTCCAAAACCTTCTCTGGCCCCCATTTTCCCAGTTGTTCAGCTCCTCATTTAGTTCTTTGTTCTACTTTGATATTCCCCAGTGCACTCCCCTTTCTGTTTAAGCTACTTTGGATTGAGTTTTTAGTACTAGAAGCCCAGAGTCCGTACGGAAATATTTCTCACTCAACTCTAGATGGTTTGGGGGAAAATTTCCCAAGGGAGCAGGAGAGCCACCATGCAAGGGAAGGCCTCTAGTGCCCTATCCCTCACCCCTCCTCCTGTGTGAAGGATTCAGGGGGCACCCACTGCTTAGCAGAATATCTCAGCTCTATGTCATCACTTACTTATCCTCAACCTTGGAATAGCTCCCTCCTGCTTATCCCAGGATTGAACCCCCTTTGGTCTGGGGCCAAAGTTCACTCCTTCCCCAGGACACCACACTGCTCTGCTGAAGGTACCAGTGCACACTCAGCCCCTGAAACATTCAAGCCTGTACAACGTCATTCTAAGCAATGAAAAGGAAACTGCTCTGGCTTTGGTGCTARCAAAGGTCCCTGGAACTAAACAAAGGTCCCTCTGAATACAGCCGGAAGGCCTGGGCTTGAAATGTTKGCACTGACCATTCCCACTTTTCTTCCTTACTTTCTTTSTTTTTTTTAATATTTATTTTTTAGTTGTAGTTGGACACAATACCCCCATTTTATTTATTTATTTTTATGTGGTGCTGAGGATCGAACCCAGGGCCTCGCACATGCCAGGCGAGCACTCTACTACTGAGCCACAACTCAGCCCCCCATTCCCACTTTTCTAAGGGAATCCATCTGTTATCCATGAGTTGGTTACAGCTCTGGGCTGGATAGGAAGGGCAAGGGAGTTGGGAGGACTGACTGAGACTGGGAGGAAGAGAAGCCCTGGATCAGGAGGGTAGTCACAAAGGAAGGGGGAAGTTGGGGTTACTGTGACCAGGCAGATAGCTCTGTTTTTACTACTTGGGTGACCTTGGATGAGGGACGTAGGCTTTGTGAGGCCCATTCAGAAATGGGACTAGTCTTCCTCTACATGGGGTTGTCCTGAAAATTAGGCTACTTATATAAATAACGCACCCGGACCCCAAGAGCCACTTAATACATGAGCCCTTCTTTCCTCTCAGTCCTAACGTGTTGTGTGTGTGTGTGTGTGTGTGTGTGTGTGTGTGTGTGTGTTACTGAAGATTAAGCCTCACGCATGCTTAAGTGCTCTACCATTAAGCTGTACCATTAAGCTATATCCCCAGACCTTATGAAATTTTATTTTGAAACAGGTTMTCACTAAATTGTTGAGGCTGGCCTTGAACTTGCAATCCTCCTGCTTTAGCCTCCTGGGTAGCTGGGATTATAAAGTGTACACCACCATGCGGCTCCCAACTCCTTTATTGTCTTTGTTTTTCATGTAGCTGAGACTCCAGGGCACTTTCAGGCCCTCCTAGCCCCTCCAACTCCTCCCTAACCAAAGTTTAGTTTATAAACTTGAACATGGAGAGAAAGTATGMCTCACTTCTTCCCCCACCCTTTCTTTCCCGTCTCTCTCCCCGAATGGTTCTTGTCTGAGACTCCCTAGCGGGCCCTACAGCCCCCTACCACTGTGGAGGTTGCTGTGGACAGACTGGAGATCCTCCACAGAGGTGCCTGACCATGATCTTGTCTAACTAGGACCAACTGGTCCCCCACCTTCACTCTTTCAGCCTCAAATGCCCAGTCCTGTGGGCCTCTCCATTTCCCTCTGCTGGCCCCGAGGCCCAGGCTGCTTCTCTTCCAGGGAATGCCACCTCTTCCCTGGTTTCCCTTCTTTCTTCCTATGCCAGAGTAGAAGCTGTTTCTTGCTTTTTCCCTCCTAGAGAATAAGGCAATAAGAAAAGTGGGGGACATCACAGCCCAAGTGGTGAATTGGCTTGGAGGTGCTGGGGGTTGGGGTGAATCTCCCATGCCCCCCCCCCAGGGCTGCTCAGAGAGGACTGATCACAGAGGCTCCCTGCCCCACCCCCACCTACCAACCCTCCCGAGGAGGCAGTGGGAGGACCTTGGCCCCATCCTTCCTTCCCTGCCATAGAGAATGACTTCTCCAGCCCGAGGCACCCTCCCCCCCWTGGACTCCTAAATTAGAGCCACATGATTTGGGATGAGATCCAAGCCTCCCCCTGCTTTTCTCTTCCCGTTTCCCTACCCSGCAGACCCAGGAACACGTTGTTCCTCAGAAAAATGGCTAAAAGGAGTGGGTGGCACGGGGGTCCAGGGGGCCCTTGTAGGTGCCCACCAGGGGAGTCCCACCCAGGTATGGGCTCCATCAGAGAGGAGATGGGCCCAGCTCTGGAGACTCAGACTCGTCAGGTTGAGAGTCAACAGAGAGGGCTGGGGATGTGGCTCAAGGGGTAACKCGCTCGCCTGGCATGCGCAGGGCGCTGGGTTCGACCCTCAGCACCACATAAAAAAATAATAAAAATAAATAAAGATGTTGTGTCCACCGAAAAATAAATAAATAAATACAGAGAGTCAACAGAGAGCTAAGAAGTCAAGTGTCCCGCAATTCATTTCACAAATGGGGAAGCTGAGATTCAGACATTAATCCATGGACTGACACATTTTTGTACAATACTTTTTAATTTACCAAGCCTATCCACAGCCTTAAATGGGAAATATCTATGATAATTAAACGAGAAAGCTTGCACAAAAGCCCAGTACCACTGTGTACCATATTCATTTACTCCTTCAGCACACAGGTATGGGCACCTGTTCTGTCCTGGGGACCCTGCTAGGTCCTGAGCACTCAGTGACACACCAGACAGACCTGGCACTGCCCACCCTGGGSCTCCTATTAGGAAGTTACCAGGATCTGAATCATCTCATTTACCCTCATGACTTTCCAGGGTTCACAGACAAGATGTTACCAGTCTCCCCATTTTATAAGGAAGAAGGTGAGATCAAGGAAAGGACATTACTTGCCCAAGGCCACATAATGTTTTTTTTTTCAGAGACCAGACTTACAACTCAGGTATCCATGCCAAGGCAGCTCCAGAAGATCATCAAAGACATCTRCAAATGAGTGTTCAACTGTTGCCTGGGGTCAGGTGAGGAAGGGCTGAGGAGTCCCCACTGTAGCTCTGGYCAATTTCCATGGTGTAAATACTTCCACCAGGGCTGATCTCCAGCTGCCCATTTGGAACTGCTAAACATGGTGTTGGGGAGAGAGGTGTCTAGAGAGTTCCTATTTGTGTTTCTAACTCAGATGGAAACATTTACATATCTGTCTTTGAAAGTAAGAAATTAAGCCAACATCCAAAGGAATTGAATGATTGTGTGTTTATTTTCTTCCTGAATAACCCTCAGTCTCAGAGAAAAGGAGGCAAGCCTCAGAGACATCGTCAGCAACTTCCAGCTATCTACAGGGCTGCTGTGGTCCTAAGAGGAGTCAGACCCCCTCATGAGTTGAGGGGAGCAAAGTACACAGAGCCTGGACATGCATGTGCACCCCCAGGCACACCCACGCCCCCTCTATGGACACACATACAAACACACACACACACACACACACACACGCAGGCAGATACACACAGATTTTTTTTTCTAGTGCTAGTGATGAAACCTAGGGCTTTGTACATGCTAGACAAGGGCTCTCCCATGGAGTCACAGCTCCAGCCCCACATAGGTTTATATATATATATATATATACCAGAAAGACCCTTTGCCAGGCGAGAGTGAGACTTGACAGAGAATGCCCAGTCTTGTGAGGAGGGCAGGTGTTTTGTAATTCATGTGTCCAATGAGGCACCAAAGTCCTCCTATGCTACATGGCACCACCTGTGTGACCCATTGCTATGAGAAGGGGGCCTGTGGACTG